CAGCTTTCACAAGGCTAATGCATTGAGCGTGGCAAGCGCTGTTTCAGAAACCAAACAGAGCCTGTTGAATAAAGTACCAAATCTTATGTGTTAAAGATGGCCTCTCATAGTTTACTCTTATGGGGACATGATTTCAATGCAAATATATGTGAGTCTACGTTACAGTGTGCCATGTTGAAATAGGTCCTACTATTAGGTTTTATGAGGTCTGAGGTCTTTCCTGGCTGGGTTTGGTGAAGGTGACTTGGAGAGATGGAGAGACAGCTTTTTGCAGTAGGATAAAACCCCAAACTGCTTGCTTGCCCTTCTCCCTAGTCTCTAAGACCGCCAGTGAGTCCACAAGTGTGTGTGTGTATATTGTGGATGTGGTGGGGGGCAGTGGTACACATGTGTGCAGTCGTACCTCTTAGTGATGGAAGGAAGGACGTGTGTGAAAAACTCTGTAAGAGGAAACGGCAAATGATCAGGCCCAGAAGGTTATCTGAGGCTCTGAAGCCAGATCTGTGGGCAGGAGGTCAGGGGCACGGCCATGATTACATAAAGAGATGGCCATCTACCAGTCTCCCACACCTGGGCAATGAGAAAAAGGCAAAAGAAGAAATTAGTGGTTTTGGACCTTTTGGTCCTATTGCATTGTTATCTGCCTTTCCTACCCCATATCAAAGTCTAACTATCTTCAGAAAAACTCAGGAACTCTAGTTCTGGAAGAACTAAAGTCTCCAGGAAAAGGGATTAGGGGCTGCTTAGAATAATACAAAGTGTGTGTGTGTGTGTGTGTGTGTGTGTGTGTGGTCTCTAGAGTCCTAATCTCCAGTATGTAGCATCCACAAGGAACAGAGCTCCCATACCCACAGCTTAATGTGAGCGCTGAACCCTACAGTCTATAAATCTTGAGTTGGAAGAATGAAGGCAGAATACAAGCAGATTCCTGCATTACTAGTAATCTCTCTATCCTCAGCTGGGTAGCTATGTTTCCTTCTATTTCCGGACTGTGAATATTTAATTATTTCCTTCTTTGTCTTTGAAACCAGGAGGTACCGTGATTGAAATAACATTCAAGATAAAGGGGTGTGGAAGAGTCCCAAGTCCACAGAGCAACTGCCTTGCACATTATTTTGCCTAGCATGTACAAAAAGAAGAAGAAGGGGGGAAAGGAGAAGGAGGAGGAGGAGGAGGAAGAGGAGGGGGCAGAGGGTGAGGAGAAAGGAAAAATAAAAGGGGATAGCAGATCTGGACAGCTCAAGCCCTCACAGAGTTAGGTTACTTCAATAAACAAAGGTCAACAGTCACTCTCTTTGAGCTTCTATGCTCAGTTGGTGTGTATTTGCGTCCTGGGGTTTAGGACAAGAATTTGCACTGGTGATTTCAATATGGGGGGTGTAAAGACAGGGACAACCAAAGGGTAAGGGGACCCATCTCTTACTCCCATCAATGCATTGACCTCTGATTTAGGTCCCTTCTTTCAATCCTAGGTCCCTATAAGCAATGTTCCATTACAAAAGGGGCCTTATCTGGCATTGTCCACTCCCAGTATTTTTGTTGTTGTTGTTGTTGTTGTTGTTGTTTTGGCTGTGCGTCTACCCAGCAGAAGAGAAGGGGAGAGTTGAATGCATTAAAGACAGCCATCAGAACTGATCAAAACCCCCTGCTCTTGTGGTCTTTTAGTATCAACAACTACTTCTTTTGCTCTATTTTCAATTGTAATTTGCCAGCACAGCTTTGCAGCCTCTGACGAAATTGTCTTTACAGATGAGCTTCCTCAAAGACAGCGCGGCCCCATTTAAGCTCAAGTTGATGCGGCGAAGTGAGGCGCTCTAGGCTCCTGCTGGAGAGGGGAGCCTCGCGGCTACCAGGCCCCGGGAAGCCCTAGCCTCTCTGCCCCCAGAGCCTCCCCGCCCGTCTCAATTGCTCTGGACCAGTTCATTTCGCCACAGCTCGGAGCCGCTCGGAAAGCAAAGATTAAAGGGGAAAGTCGCAGCTGTATATTTATATTTTCATTGCTAGAAGGGAATTGATTTCCGTGCATTTATTTTGGTAGTTGTAATACACAAGGGCGGATTTGCGTCACCCGAGCAACTTGTCGGTGGAGATAAAGTTGCACAAATATTGAAAGGGGAAGTGCTAGGAGTCATTATAGAGTTTTTCTCCGGAAGAAATAAGGATTTCTGCAGTATCCTAAAATACTAACGCCGCTTCTATTTTGAGACCAATCTCGCAGGCACATCCGCTCATTTAGTACGAGTTTGAGCCCATCAAAAAACAGGAGATGACCTGAACTCCGGCGAGCCCGGGGTTTCCTGCTGCTTTCTTGGTTCTGGGGGGGTGGGTAGTCAGGAGGAGGGGAGTCAGCGGGCTCAGAAGAGGGCGAGGGGCCCGCAGCCTTGAGACCTGATCCTGGGGAAGGGGTGTGTGTCGGGAGTGAGGGGCGATGGGGGAAGCAGAGGGTCCTTCCACAGGTTTCCTTTTTGGCCTTTCCCTCCAGGTGGCCCGGGAGGTGCCGGCACGGTTGCAAAGGACCCGAGGGCCTGGAAGAGCAGGGGGGCGCGCAAGAAGTTGCAATTTAGAACCAAGCCGCTGCCTTTCGGGGACACAGAGGAGGAGCGCGCAGCGGGGCTAGGAGTCCGCAGGAGAACCCTGCTCCAGGGTCTCGGCTCCGCCCCGCCTGCCCCTGGCTCCGGGCCTTGAAATGCTACAGAAGCGGGTCGTGGATGCCTCGGGACACCCAGAGGGTCCACGTTCCGCCTAGACTGCACGCAGCGCCCACCCCGAGAGTCTTATTTGGGGGCGGAAGGCAGGGGTGAGGCCTAAATATGCCTCCTTTAGAACCTTGAGTTTGAACTTAGGCGCTGCTGATTGAATGTTTGCAGTCAAACTGGAATTAGAAGTGACACTAGAAAAAAGAAGAAAAGGGGGTTTATGCCCATTCTCACACACACTCGCGCTGGTGACTGTCCCTGGGAGCTGTGAAGGCCTCACTCTTCCAGCGGAGTCCCCCAACAGTCCCTGCTCCTGTCTGCAATACACCCACTGGGGCACTTGAAGAAGGGTCCAATGCCCCAAGCGGCCTTATACCTGTCACTCCTTTGCCTCTGGCTAGAAAGGGGTCTGGTCTTCCTGGATCTCTTGCCCCAGATGCCAGTGTCCTCAGGCGATCCAACCACTTCATATCATCTCTGGAAATAACATCTTTGTCCCTGCAAGTCACGAAAACCTTTCAGTAAAAAAGCGACCTAGAGACGAAGAAAGACAGGATGGAGGCACGGGTAGGGGACAGGCGTGTCCCAGGGCTGCCTCTAAGAAGGGATTGATCACTTTCCTGGAGAAAGTCAAAAGCTTAAAATGACAGCATCTGCCACAAGAGGCCAGAAACCACTAGAAATAAATTTAAGCAGCCCAAATCCTGAATTTGACCTAGGTATGGCAAATTCAGTTGCCTTCCTGGGTTGATTTGGAAAGACCTCTTTGGGACGAAGTGAAATAAGAAATGTCACAGAAGCTTTAATGCAATTGTATTAAAAGTCTTTTGGGGGGAGGGAGACATGCGACAGAAGCACAGAAGTTCAATTAAGAGATGCTTATTAGGGCAATCGAAAACAAAAGATTACGTGGTTTCATTATTGTTATTATTTTATTTTCTTCCTGAAAATGTGCAAGAAGAGCTCATCTGGGTGGCCTGTGGTTTGTTTGGGAGAGGGGTGGGGAAATCCATTCTGACCGTAATTTAAAAGAGAACGAATTCTTAAAATAGAGATGTTGATGTTGCAGAAAACCCCACTACATCCACTCTGCGCTCTAAAGACCCAAAGCACGAATGGACGGCGTTGGTCTCCACTGCAACTTCTGCGACCAGGCCCAAGGGGTTCCTGGGGAAACAGTCACTGAATTGAAAGTAGTATTTAACCCCCAGGAAATGTGCACTTGCAAAACAATGGACCCCACGTGATCTGGGGATGTGGTGGAGCTGGGAGGGTGACATTTCCTACAAGGTGCAGCAGAGAAGGGGACGCGCGTGCCGCTTTCCCGGGTTTCGGAGGGCGGCCTGTTTGGTTGTAGCCTGAGGCTCGGGAGAGGGTTTGGCTGCGTCCAAGGGAGAGGTTCGGAGACATCCATCTTATTTTGTTTGAAAAGTTACTCGTCCAAATTGTCGCTGGGTGACAGCTTGGACTGAAGCTAATTGGTGATCGCCCCTCCCCTCCTCCGTGAGGATCTCCGAGGCTGCGAGGCGGCCGCAGGGCTAAACTGGGCGGGGACTTTGGACCCCAGCTTTCCCGCGCCAGAGCTCAGAGCGGAGCCGCTCGGCAGCGGGAGCCCACGAAGGAAGAGGACACCGACTTTCGGAGAACGGCAGAGCGAAGACAAATCAGGCCCGAGTGAAGTCAGGAGGAGGGAACCTAGGGGGCCGCCCCCGTGTTCCAAGAGGCGGGCTTTGCACCCGTGAAAATACACGGGAGCACCAGCCACTCTGGGTAAAAGCTAGCGCTGGGACCAGCTCTCTACGTCCGATGTCGGTCTGGAGCTGCAGAAGTTAGCGGAGGGTCAGAATTCCTTGGAGGCGCCGCTCGGGCCGTTACGCGCGGGACCGCGCTCAGCCCACGCGGCAGCAGCAAACACTTTGGCGTGGCCGGGGCGTGGCCGAGGCGGTGGGCCACGCCCCTATTTCCCCAATTCCCCTCCACTCCCCGCTCCCATTGGTCACGAGGATAGCCAATGAGCGCTCGGTTCGAGGTCCTACCCTGGGTCTGACTCCAAAGCTCCTGCCAAAACTTTGGGAGTTTTTAGAGAGGAGTTTTTTTTTTTTTTTTTTTCCCTCTTATTACTTTTTTTTTTTTTTTAAACTAACGGATTATTATTGTTGTTGTTTTAAATTTAGCTCTTAGGGCTTAGCTGTTTGGGTTTTCTTTCGGTGCCGGCCCCTGTCTCCCCGGCTTCCCCGGCGTGTGCGGAGCCGCGGCCCCCGCCGCCCAGCCGCTCCAGCGCCCCTCGCTCGCCTCCAGCCCGCGGGGAGCGCGGGCGCCGCGCCGCCTTTAAAGTGAGGCCAGGGGCCGCGGCTGTGACCGGCCGGGATCCGGGCCTCGCCTCTTCCCTCGGCGCTAGGGCTCCCTGGCCTGTGTTCGGTGCGGACGGAGAAGCGAAAGCGGATCGTCCCGGCTGGACCGCCGCTGGCCCGGGGACTCAGCGCTCTCCCTCGGCGCACCCACCCACCCACTCGGCCGGGCCCGGCCCGGCCGCGGCGGCAGCTCGGCGCACCCAGCCAGAATGTTCGCCGCCGGGCTGGCTCCCTTCTACGCCTCCAACTTCAGCCTCTGGTCGGCCGCCTACTGCTCCTCGGCCGGCCCGGGCGGCTGCGCCTTCCCCTTGGACCCCGCCGCGGTCAAGAAACCCTCCTTCTGCATCGCAGACATCCTGCACGCCGGCGTGGGGGAGCCAGGGGCGGCCGCGGAGGGTCTGGCGGGGGCCTCGGCCGCCGCCCTCACCGCGCATTTGGGCTCGGCTCACCCGCACCCCTCTTTCCAAGCGGCCGCCAGATCCCCGCTTCGACCCACCCCGGTGGTGGCGCCCTCCGAAGTCCCGGCTGGCTTCCCTCAGCGGCTGTCTCCGCTCTCAGCCGCCTACCACCACCATCACCCGCAGCAACAGCAGCAGCAACAGCCGCCTCAGCAGCAGCAGCCTCCGCCTCCACCCAGGGCTGGCGCCTTGCAGCCACCGGTCTCCGGGGCGCGGGTGGCTCCAAACCCCCCGCACAGCGGCTCGGCCCCGGCCCCCTCTAGCAAGGACCTCAAATTTGGAATTGATCGCATTTTGTCTGCAGAATTTGACCCCAAAGTCAAGGAAGGCAACACGCTGAGAGGTAGGTCTTGGGCGAGAGGCTGCAGGCCTCTTACCACGGCCCTGGCGCACTCACTCCCCGGTTCCAGGGCCATTTGGAATGCCTTCGAGTATTTGCACAATTAAGGACAAACGGGTAAAATGAGGGACAAGTGAGTGAACTGTAAGAAGACTGAAACGATAGGTTTAAAACTCACCTGCTCCGCGTTAAAAAAAAAAAAAAAAGATTCCAGGGATGCTTTAAAAACGCACGTTCTGGAATCATTACTCATAAAAATCGTTGGTCTAAATATTTGCTGAAATGACTATCATCTGTCTCTTGAATCTCGTATGGAGAGAGAGAACTATATTAATTTGAGAGGGAAAGCCCTTTTGGGGAACACTTTCTCTTGCATTTATCTGATTTCTAGTGAAATTCCACTCAAGGAATGTAGATAAACAAAATAGAGTCTCGGGTCCCAAGAGAAGGCAGAGTTGGGGCTCCTTCACGGGGGAGGGGGCAGGTCTGTGGAATTCTAGCCCGGCACCTGGAAGTGACTTCCTTTTGGCCGTTTTATGCAAAGCCCTTCCTTGCTGTACGTGTGGACGTGGACCTATGGGCTACACGCAGGAACACTTTGCGCATCGCCCCTTGGCCACTGTCGGGAGAGAGGGGTTTTGGCGCGGAGACAAGCGTCTCTCGTGACTTTGCTCCAGGAAAACCCAGTCGAGGGGGATGGGAGGAAAAACTCAGCCCGAGAGTGTGATTTTGCCCGAGGTGTAACCGGCTCTTCTTTTCCCTCCTTTCCAGACCTCACCTCCCTGCTAACCAGCGGGCGGCCCGCAGGGGTGCACCTCCCCGGCCTGCAGCCCTCTGCCGGGCAGTTCTTCGCGTCTCTAGATCCCATTAACGAGGCTTCTGCCATCCTGAGTCCCTTAAGCTCGAACCCGAGGAATTCAGTTCAGCATCAGTTTCAAGACACGTTTCCAGGTACGGAAACCCTCCCGAGCGACGGCTTAATGGGGCAAGTCGACTGACTCAGGAGTGACGCCTCACGTGGCCCCAGCTGTGCCCCAATCCCGGAGTTGGTGCAGGAGGCTACCAAGTCCGGAGACAGAAACCGAAAGAGTTCTCAGATAGCTAGCTCACTCTTCCGTCGGCTCCCTGGGGGCAGGGAGGTGGGGGGCCTGGGGGTGCAGAGAAGGTGTGTGCGTGGGCGGGCGGGGTGGGGCGAAGGGGCTTTCCCTAGTCTTTTCGCCAGAGAGTGGCTTGAAAATGCAGCAAGAGGTGTTGCTTTTTAACATACAGTTAGGAGTGACCTCCGACACTTTGTCCAAGGAGGTTCCGTCTTGCAAGAACACGTTGGCAAGAACGTGTACATACACTCACGTACACACGTACACACACGAGAGTCAAAGCTGTCATCTCCCCATCCTTCAGGCCCAAGGGACATTTTCGCATGCCCCAAAGGCCACGCGTTAGGTTTATGTTTTTTCTTTGGAATTAATCGAGGAAGCGCGGGACTTCTCCACACCACCCTCGCTTTCGGCCTTGAGCCTGAAGTTTTAAGAGCTGTAGGATTCCTTTTTAGAAAGGCCATTCCAGGTCTGCGTCAAGGGCTCTCTGAATGGGGGCCGCTGTTCACGCAAAACAGTCTAAAGCAGCACGGCGAGTCCCGGGCCCGCAGAGCACGGACGGGGGCACTGACGGGGCCCCCTGTCTTTCTCTTGCTCCCGCTACCGCCGGGCGGCAGGTCCCTACGCCGTGCTTACGAAGGACACCATGCCGCAGACCTACAAAAGGAAGCGCTCCTGGTCGCGGGCGGTCTTCTCCAACCTGCAGAGGAAAGGCCTGGAGAAGAGGTTTGAGATCCAGAAGTACGTGACGAAACCCGACCGAAAGCAACTGGCCGCGATGCTAGGCCTCACCGACGCCCAGGTAAGCCGGCTCGGGCTCCCGCGCCCAGCCCCCTCGCGGGGTGGGGGGGCAGCAGCAGCGCGGCCTGGCCCCAGGCCTCCCTCCACCCCGGCCCACTCCGCGTTTGCCACGGAAACGCATGGTCTTGGATTTCTGGAGACATTGTAGGCGTCGAAACTTGAGTCTGGAGGTGGGGGGATGGGAGGGAAAGAAGGACGGAAAGAATAGCCCATCCCCAAAGATGTATGTCAACAAGTACAGCCTGTTTATTTTGGCCAACAGGAGAAAGAACCGCGGAGAAAGCAAATAGGCCGCAGGAGATAATAATTATGTACTCGACTGTAGTGCCGTTCGCTGTAGGAGGCAGTTTATTTCGGAAGAGATAAAAATCCAAAGTCAAGAGATTGTTGGTTTCTTTCTTTTTTTTTCTCCTCCCGTCCTTCCTCCCTCCTCCTCCTGCTGCTGCCGCTGGATTGTGAAATCCCCATTTGTGAGGAAGTGAAAACATCATTTCAAACGGAATGACTTAGCCCCAGCAGGGCCAGGAGTGCACACAGCAGCAGCCACAGTCCGGCTGACTTTCTAACGGCATAAGCTCTCAAGAAAAATCTCGGGGGGGGAGAGGGGGCAGGGGAGTGAGAGAGAGAAAGAAAGAAAAAGAAAGATTTTCTTAAAACACCCAAGAGCGTTTCAGCAGGTTCTGTCTCGAATTTTTTTTTCAGGACAATGGCGAATCTGTCGTGTTGGAGTTCAGTTTCTGGATTCAATTTTTTTTTCTTTTCTCCAATTCAAGAACTGGACTTTTTTTGGGGAGTGGTTTGAAAATAGAAGAGTCACCATTCTTCCAAACCCCACAGCGGTGACCTTTGCTCCCTGGGGGTTCAATGTTCTGAGTAGGGCAGAAGTCAAAGGCAGGTACCTTTTCATAGCTCCTTTAGGGTCCCCCTCGACCCCCCCCCACCTTGTCTTTCTGTCCTCCATTACACAGCTCCCCTCCCCAACACACGGTGGAAGAGCCCAGCCGTTTTCCACCAGCTGTGGATGTTATTTTTAAAAGGGAAGCTGGGACTTGTGTGAACAGCACTGGGTCCCCCAGGGGACTGTATATATTTATATAGATTATCCACCCCATCCCTACCCCCCTCCTTCACTTTGCACAGGTTTAATGCGGGTATATTCGAAGGCTGCAGAAGGAGGAGTTCATCCCAGCCAGGGGCAGGGTCCTTATCAGCTTCTGAGTACACACATGCCAAGGAAATGCTCCTCTACTGATGGTCCGGCAATGCCCCCACCCCAGTGGGATTAACTCTTTGAACCCTCTTTTCCCTCTGTGTTTCCCACGGTTTCTCTTTAAGAATTACTTTTGTAGAAACTTGTCTTGGGTGCTGGCAGTCGAGGAGGGGACCAGCTTTGCAGGAATTCTTAACATTGGTTCACCAAACCCTTAAAATCCTGGGTATTTTTTTTTTTTTCCCCTGGGCCAAGGGTCCGTAACTTAATCAGATTCTTGGGGAGTCCTGGCTCAAGTGGGGTTAAGAAGCATTGATTTAGAACAGAAATCGCTTCGTTTGAGGGAGAGGTGCAGGACTCCGCCTTTCGGAAAGCATCCAGGTTATTTCAGGACCCGGTCTGGAGGGCTACATTTTGAGAAACAGTTCTCGTGGGTTCCCTAGGCGAGGGTCCCCGGCGATGTCGTTGTTTTCCTGGGCTGCCTCCCGGCGCCGGAGCCGAGCCCAGTGCCCGGCCAGTGGCAGAGGTACTGGGGCCCCGGGCTCCAGGCTGCGCGCGAGCCGAGCGTGGCAAGCCCACGTCTTATCTCGGTGTCCCTTCTTGTCTTCCCACGTGCTGCGGCGCAGGTGAAGGTGTGGTTCCAGAACCGGCGAATGAAGTGGCGGCACTCCAAGGAGGCCCAGGCCCAGAAGGACAAGGACAAAGAGGCGGGCGAGAAGCCGTCGGGCGGAGGAGCGGCTGCGGACGGCGAGCAGGAGGAGCGGAGCCTCAGCCGCTCGGAGGGCGAGGCCGAGAGCGAGAGCAGCGACTCCGAGTCTCTGGACATGGCCCCCAGCGACACGGAGCGGACTGAGGGGGCCGAGCGGTCTCTGCACCAGACCACGGTCATCAAGGCCTCGGCAGCGGGCGCCCTCCTCCCGGCCAGCGGCTGCGGGAGCGCGGGAAGCGGCGGCGGCAGTGGCGGCTTCAGCTTCTCCAGCCTCGGCGGCGGCGGCGGTGGTGGCGGCGCGGGGAGCGGGGGCGGCGGCGCCTCCGAGCTGCTACCGGCGCCCCAGCCCACCCTCAGCGGCGCTCCGCAGAGCCCCGAGCCCGCCCAGGCACCGCTGGGCGGCCCGTAGACTGCACGAGGCAGGGCCCCGGGGCCCGCGTGCCGCCCCCAGCCTCCCAGGGTGGGCTGGATTTTGCGCCTGCTTTGTGTTGGCGGTGGGGCTGGGACCGGAGACGCCGCAGCAGAGCTACCTTGCCCAAGGTCCCACCTGCCCACCGCTGTCGCGCTGGTGCCCAGAGCCCAGGGGGCCTCAGGACCCCCGCCCGAGGACCCGGCGCCGGCCAAAACTTCTCCCCAGCAGCGAGCAGTTCACACTGTGAAGTGTCGGACGAAACAGCTTCTCCCCGCACTCCGGGGGGTTGTGCCGCAAGGACGAGCTGCACTTAGGACGCCATGAACTTGTAAATAAAATGTTTACTACGGTTTGTAAAGGCCGCTTGGTTTGCTGGGGCCGCGCTGTCGTGAAAGCCGGGGATCATCCGCGCTGGGGGCACAGCAGGTCACAGCAGCTGGAGGTGGGGGACTAGGGCTTTTGGGATTGGCGGAAGTCCTGCAACCTCAGAGCCGCCTTGCTGCAGAGATAGGCTTCAAGTTCAGAGGCCTCCTTGGCCATAAATTTTGCTTCCCCGCCACTGAACCGGTGTTCCATGACCCTGAGTGTGGCCAGAAGGCAGAGGTGGTCACAGAATTGGTTAGTCCCGTGGGGCAGATGGCCTCCCCACCCTGAGTCAGGACACTGAGTGGGCCCGTGGCCTTTCCTTTGCTGGCGAGTATCCAGACTTGGAGTGGAGAAGATGGTGAGGCAGGTGGCCAGTTTAGCCACAGTGGGTGCTTACAAAGGCGGCCACTCAAAGTCCAAAGTCCACAGCGGAACTTTTAGGCAGTTCCGACACAAGCCGCCCCTTGCTCAGGATGTCTAAGTAGAGGAGGTAGTGTCCTGGAGGAAAAGACAGACAAATCACCGTCCTTGGAGCTGAAAAGGCTGGGCCTGAGAAAGTTTTAAAGGTGCCCAAACAACCGTGGGGCAGGGAGGTGGCTTGTTCAAGGTCACACCCAGGCAATAACCCAAACCAGAGCTCAGACCTCCTGGCTCTCAAAACTGCATCTCAACCCCCTCCTCAGGCACACAGTCTTCCTTGCAGTTAAGCCCCTGGTGATGCCCAGTGACTCTCTCCGCAGCTCCCAACCCCCAAGCAGCCAGGAGACCAGCGCCCCGTCTCCCAACCATACTGCCACTGAAATACCAGTTTTGCTTCCACACTGCAACTGGAACAGGCCATTTAAGGGTTTTTGTTTTGTTTTGTTTTTGAAAGGCTGAAGACCTGTCCTCTCTTGGCTCTCCTTTCCTCAAAATGAAATGTCCCGAGTTGGTATAGAGTCCTTTTGCGAGATTTAAAAACAGACTGCCAACAAACCTGACCACGCGGGGCTGTTTGGCACTGAACTCTGGCCAGGGCACAAGGCTTCTCACAGGCCCACCATCCAGGTTAAGAGTTGGTTCTCTGGTAGGATGTCTTTCTGTAGAGAGTGGGATGCTCAGGTCAGCTAGCCCGGGACACATCCCAGTCCCCTGGCTGGAGTGAGGAGGCTCCTAGTGGCTCCCAGATCCGGCTAGCCTCTTCCCCATTTTAACTCATTGACTTGAGCACATTAGAAGACCTCCATTTTAGAGTAGAGGCCCCAGATTTAGCCTTTGCTGACCTGGCAAGGCACAGGGGTTCAAGGCTGGCCATTCCCTGCCCCAGTCAACCTCCCAGCCTCCAAATGAAGCTGAACTCCTAGAGGAATGTGTGTAGTGGGGAGGGGAGTGGGAGCGATCAGGGTGGTCCAGTGGAGGAAGGAGAAAAGAGAGGTAGAGGGCTCTAGAAGGGACCTCGAGTTAAAAGGGAATGTGAGCCAGCTATTGTCTTTAAATATGCCCCCAGTTTCCCAGCAGAGCAGCCTCCACACCTGTTTGGGTTCTAGCCTTTGGGGGGGGGGTTCTTCCACCATTCCACAAACTCCGCTGCCCAAAGAGCAGGATTCTCCCCATACCTCAGTTTTGCCTTCACTATCGAGATTAGTTTCCTTTGACCCCCGAAATATTGAAATTCTGTAACCAGGACATCCCAAGGTCGTGGAATTTTGAGACACTTAAATCTGGAGCTGGCGTTCAGGAGACTCTAGTACAGGAGCTCAGCTGGGAAGGAGAACTGGGGAGGAGTTGGTGCTTTAGGCACTGGGCAGCTACTCTGCCTCCCACAAGGCCCTCGAGGTGCCCGCTGCTCCAATCCCCCCTCACATTTCTCCTCCTGGGGCCCGGGTTTAAAAAGTGAAGGAAATAATCGCCCAGGACCGTAATGCTGTGATTTCAAGGACCGTTTGGCCTTAGCACTGCCAGGATCCGTGAGACCAGAGGGCGCAGCAAAGGTGGGTACCGGGAGGGAAATGCGCTGGGCCGCGAGCTCCTTGGGGTGGCACTGGGGATGCTCCTAGAGGGCTCCCAGGAGGCGCCCCTTTCTCCACCACCCCCCACCTCTCCTCGAATATCTTCCCCGTGAAACCCCAGCTGGGCTTTACCCTGGGCAGTGGAGTTCTTCCACCTTTTCATCAGGAACGTGGTATCACGAGTCCAGAAGTTTAAAGTTCATTTGCAAGAGGAGCAGCCGAAGGACGAAGAGCCCTCTCGAGGCCAGCCTGGTGGTGGGGAGCAAAAACCGCTTTTCAGGCCGGGTCTCCACGCATCCCGGGACTGCTCGCTTGGCCCAGGGATCGGGAATTTTCCCGCTGGCGTTGAGTGCTTGCAAGAGCGGCCAGGAAAGCTAGAAATTCTTGAACAGAGACCGAGATTTCTAATGCGCCCAAGAGAAGGCCGTGCGCGCTAGCTCCGCACACTCCAGGCCCGCCGAGGCCCGCCCGGCTGGGGCTCGGAGCGGGCAGCGGGTGCGCGCGGGCCCCAGATCCGAGCCGAGCCGCCACCCGCGCTTCCGACGCTCGCGGCCCGAGACTTGCCCTTTCCGAAAAGCAGCAAGAACTCTGTCCGAGCCGGGTTCTGCCTCCCAGCCGCAGTGGCCCCCGCGGCGCCCAGCCCTCCGAGCCAGGTTACCGAGGCGCAGCTCGGGGGGTGCCGAGGGCTGGCTGCCGCGGGTCTCTGGGACGCGAGGGGTTCTAATACCCTCCGGGGGCACGCGCGCGCACACCACAGTTACACGCGTAGGCCACACATCCACACGCTCCCAGAGGTGCCCAGCCACGCAGACTCAGACACACACGGGGGAGACGAGGTACTGGCCATTTCAGACTCTTCTGATCAAAACCACACAAATAAAGTCTTCCCTTCTCCAGACGGCAAAGCAGAGCGAGAAGTCTCACGCCGCCTTCTTCTGCCAGGGTCGGTGCGTGGGGCGCTGGGCTCCAGAAAAGCCTGCCCGAGCCAAGCCTCGCCGACCAAAGCACTGAGAGCGGGCGCCGCTCCCTTCGGGCGCCGCAGTCCAGAGCTGGCAGGACCCGGCGGTCCCCAGTTGCTGGGAACTCGTGGCCCTCGCTGCCCTGTGCCCCCCCCCCACCTCCTTTCTCGGGGCCAAAGCTGTCCGGCCCCGTGGCACTTCAAGGCTAAGTCCTGTCTCCAAGGGAGGCTCTGGCCCGCAGACCAGCCAAGGAGATCGCCCTCTGTTCTTACTCCACTACCACGCAAGGATTCGTGGGTACCATGTGTGTGCTGGGGTTGGGGGGCTTGCTCAGACTCCGGTTGTCACCAATTCCTCTGACTCCCTCCAAACTTCAGAGGGGACCAATGGCTCTGGGATCTTTCCGGTGGCTGCTCCCTCTAGCTGGGGTCCGAAGGAGGGTGTTGGCGGGGGTTCTGGCCTGAGGCCATAGCCAAGCAGGTGATCTCTGAGTGCCCAGCCCTCTGGTCCCCCCTGTTCTAGGTGCCGGAAGCCAACCTAACTGGAAGGTGACCCCAGATTCCACTGCCGTGGGTCGGTCCCAGTCTCAGGGAACTTAAGGTCCCCAGGGCGGGGCAGGAACCAGGACCTGTGAGGAGGTGGGTCGGGGTTATTATGGGGGCGTTTCAGAATTGAGCTTTAACCCGTGTGGCTTTAACCTGTTGAGTTCGAATCTATTCCCGCATCAGACTCCACTTCCCCTCAAGCCCCTGCGGACCTCAAACAGACCTGGATAGGCGGGGCTGGGATCGGTGGGTGGTGGTGGTAGGGGGGCTGGACCTCAAACAGACCTGGGTAGGCGGGGCTGGGATCGGTGGGTGGTGGTGGTAGGGGGGCTGGGGCAGCTCTGGAGCAAGAAATGGGGAAGAGAGGCAGGGGGCTGAGGTGGGTGCACCAACCTCCGGGTTGCCCAAGGGTCTCCTCCACCTTCGTCCTTCTTTGAGAAGGAAGAGCTGGTTGAAGGAGTGAGAATTCGGCCCTCCCCACAGGACCGTGTGACCCTACTTTAAAGAGGGTGGAGAGGACTCTAAACATGAAGGGCCCTCACATTCCCCCTTCTTTGGCCTTTGGGAAGGAGGCTGCACACTCCATGGTCTTTGTGAAGCCCCACCTATTGGGTTTCCGAGGGCTTTAACTGCAGGTATTAGAGCGATTTAATTGTGCTCACGCACGCATCTGGCTCAGCGTCTTCCCTTTGAGGCCAGTGTCCTAAAGATAAATGAATGACGCAGGTTCTCCCCATGAATGCGGGTATTAAAACCTGCAGTGCACCCCCCCACCCCAGCAGCTCTTTGGACTTTCTGACTGCTACGCAAGGCGGAGTGTGTGTGTGTGCGTGTGTGTGTGTGTGCGCGCGCGCGCTTTCTAAGCTATTCCCTCTTCCTCCCCCACCTGGGTTCCAACAGGCCCAGGCTCTGCAGCTCAGACAGGTAAGCTCAGAGAACTGCTGGCCCTGGGGTCCCTTGGATGTGCTGCCTTCCATCATTTTATGAACAAACATAGGAGTCCTCACAGGTGTGATTACTTCTGACTTCTTCATTTTAAGGATGGGGTAATGAAGTCTGGGTTCTTGACACTTGCCCAGTGTCCTTTGGAGGGTGATGCCAGGACTCGGATAAGGCTGTGGGGTTAGTGCTTCCTGAGGAGCAAAAGGAGAGGGGTCCTCTGGGATGCACTTGACCAACCAGATTCTGATCTGGATTGATACAACTCAGTGGCTTTTTAAAAAGGGCATAAGAGGTGTTGAGTCTTCGAGGGGAACTTTGAGTTCCCATTGGCCTACTTGGTTTTTGTCTGGGTAGTCCCTGAGAGGTGACCCTCCAGGAGTCGAGGGGCATTGATACCCCACCCTTTAGCTTGTGCCACCATAGGTTTTGTTAATGTGTCTAAGGTCGGGACCACACCCTGCTCGTGGGATAGTGCATCATCCTTGGTGATTTTCTAATCGCATCGGTGGTTGCTGACACATGGGTTTCTGGACAACAC